CTCTCCCTCTCTCTCTCTCTCCCTCTCTCTCTCTCTCTCTCTCTCACACACACACACACACACACACACACACAGTAATGAAAATTAGTAAATCAAGAAGCTTCAAGCCAGTGAGGTTCAGGAGTCCTGCTGAGGGTGCTCGAAAGACTCAAAAGGAAAACAGAAATCTGATTGGTTTGGAAGATACTTAGTTTTTTATTATAACTGCATTGCCTACTTCTGATTGGTTGAGTGCAAGTTCCGTCTGTCTTTAGGTAGTTCCAAGAAGTGACTCAAGCTTTGCTTATGCCTGTTTGCAGATCAAGCAGAGCCTGTCTGTCTGTAACCTCCTGTCTGTCCACTCACGACCCTTCGGTCTGTCTCCTTTTAAATCTGCTTTAACAAGCAGGGATGTGATTTTAGCGCCTGCTTTGTGCTCCGCCAAGGAGCAGATCTTTCTGGTGTGGGACTTCTGCTTCCCCAAATGTTCTCTCATGTTGAGTACCGTTGCTTTGGTCCTTGAGGGTCCATTATTCCTAGAGTCACAAAACTGCTTACTGGGGATGCGCGCCTCGCAGGTGTCAGGTGCAGGAGGATGTGGTTTCACGGTCTCCACACAGAAAGCATGAACTGGCGTCCACTTGGCAGCGTGCGCACCTAGAAAGCCAGTCTTCTGCTCAGTGGGCCTCGATAGGCCTGAAAGACCACGGCCTCTGTCTCCCGCCAAGTAAACAGGCTGGGGCGGAGCTGGGTGGCAGGGCACTTTCCGGGACAAAGAACAGTCACGATTCCTTTCCGTGTAGCTACATCACAGCCTAGATGTGAGTCCTGTTGCTGCAGCTTATCTGTCTACTCTGGTGGGCTCAGCTGTGGGCCTGAGCGCTGGCTTCCTCAGGCTGCTGAAAGATCCTGTCCCGACTCACCATGGAGTCTCAGGTCTGTCCGTTTGTCTGTCTACCTTGTTTTGTGTGTTTGCTTTACTTTAAACATTATTTTGTTTTATATATTTATTTTGTGTGTGTATATGTGCATACACATGTAGTAGGAGGCCGCTTGTTTCTTTCCTGGCCACCCAGACTCCCAAAAGAACCACACAAAAACTATTAATTAAGTCACTGCTTGGTCCATTAGCTCTAGCTTCTTATTGGCTAACTCTTACATCTTAATTTAACCCATTTCTATTAATCTGTGTATCGCCATGAGGCTGTGGCTTACCAGGTAAGGTTCTAGCGGGGCTACATGGCTTCTCTCTGACTCTGCCTACTTTCTCCCAGCATTCAGTTTAGTTTTCCCTGCCTAGCTCTACTCTACCCTATCAAGCCAAACCAGTTCCTTTATTTGCCAGTGGTATTCACAGCATGCAGAGGGGAATCCCACATCATTCACATTCATGCCATGGTGTGTGTGAGTGTGTGTGTGTGTGTGAGAGAGAGAGAGACAGACAGACAGACAGACAGACAGAAATCACCTTTCAGGAGTCTGTTCTACGAGGTAGATTCCGGTTCTTGAACTCAGGTTATCGGAGTTTGGTGGCAGGGCACTTTATAAATGGTCCTATTTTGTTTTTTGAGATAAACTATGGGACCCTGGTTGACCTGCTACGCATATTATCCAGGCTGGCCTCAGCCTCTCAAGTGCTGGGATGACAGGCATGAACTACCATTCCTGCCTCTTACCTTATTTTATTGGCCTGGGTCTTCTCATTTTGCAGCTCAGGCTGACCACAAACCCTTGTTCTTATTGTCAGCTTTTGAGTGCTGGAGTTACAGCTATACCACCTTGCCCTGCTGACTTCCATTTTAAAACAAGCTATGTGCAAGGCATTGTATGCTTTTCTCTATATGGGTCCTGAGCCTGGCCTTGTCAAACCGCAGGACAGACCCTGGAGCTTAGTCCTCTCCTCCTCTTCCTGGTCTGTCAACCTGTCTACCCGTCACTCCTGATGTCACTGTCACTTCTCCTGCCTGACTCTACAACCCTCCTTGGAGTGACACATTTACTTCAGGCATGAGGTCATGGTAATTGTTTACTGGCTGGCCTCACCGTCCTGTGAAGAACCACAAGAGGGGCAGCAGGAGGTCATGGCTGGTGTCCAACCTGACATGTAGGGTTGGCCTAAGGAACAAATTAGGGAGGAGAAATCCACTGGGACACTGGGGACGTCGCTGCCCAGGGAGCTCTTGAGAGCTGCTCAAAGAACCTGCTGGATTATCTGCGGAGCAGTTAAGACAGAGTTTTACTCTTTAGCCCAGGCTGGCCTCAGACTCGTGGCACTCTTTCTCCTCGGCCTCCCCAGTGCCTGGATTATAATGAGAACCACTGCACCTGGCTATGATGTACACACCTGGTTTTGTAGAGCTGTGTGAGAAGAAAAGCATCCTATTGCCCAGGAGAAAGAAGATCCTGAGGCCAAGCAGAGCTATAGAGGTGGGGGTACACACGCACACATACACACACTCACATGCACACACACAAACACACTCATACACACATGCACATGCACACATACACACACATGCATACACACATATACACATACACACACTCACATACACACACATGCATACATACATACACATGCTCACATACACGCACGCTCACACACACATGTATGCTCACACACACGCACACACATGCACACATACGCAGGCACACACACACAACATGAAAGCCCCAGAGAGATGGGTACTTTGTGGTTCCCACCCCTCTGCCTCCCATTTCCCGCCTTGAGTGGAATTGAGACCTGTCCTCCTTTTCGGCCTCCCATGGCAGGGTTCTTTCTGACCAGCACTCTCTCTTGCCCATGGAGAAACACTGTGACCTTCTCTGAAGTCTCACCCAGAGGTCCCCTCACCTGTAAGGTCCCATACCTTCCTTGTATTGCCAAGAGTGCTCTCAGGCCAAGCATGTCACTGTCACACTGTCCACCCAACTTAAATCAGATTTGTCACCAAGACTGTCACAAACAAGGGGTGTCACGTGACCAGCCAGAGTAACCACATTCTCACTTCCTTCTTCCACACCCTGCCGTTGGGGGTTGTCCGATTGGCACTGCAAGTGTCTGGCAGTGTGGACTGGGGCCTTGTCATTGAGGCAGAGTTGCTTCTGGGCCCCGAGGCAGCTGCCCCATGCTTTGCTGAGCAGGTAAGTACTGATTTGCAAAACTGGGGAGTGGCTGGGGGCCCAAGGGATAAGAAGCTTGCCTTTCCATTGCTAGCACACAGGGGCCCTTCCGAGTGGCACTGAGGCTCTGGACCACGGTCTCCATGGAGACTGGGTTTCTCCAGCCTTAGCTGTGGGTCTCCCCTGATACTATCTAACTGCTGTCTGGGTACCAGGCTATGGCTGCTGCCTTGTAGTCTCTGAATGGAGATTCAGAGAAGTCTGGGCCCTCTCCCTAGAAACGATCCTACCCCTCTTTTCATGAGTGGGAAACTTAAGGCCAGTACTGACACTGAGGAGTCCAGAAAGGACAGAGTGCCATTTGTCTTGAGGTTGTTAAAGCATGAAAATATTCTTTGGAATTCTCTCTCTTCTCCCTTTAGATATGGTTTCCATTTGTTCATTAAGCTGACCTGGAACTCTGTGTAGCCCAGGCTATCCTCTGGCCTTGGCCTAGTGCTGGGCCAGAGTGCGGGGGTTGCGGGCATGCACCACCATACCAGCCTTCTTTGATTATTTTAAATTTTTATTTGTATATTATTATTATTTTGTGTGTGTGTATGTGCCTATGAACTTGTGTGCACAAACCGGCCCAGGAGTGTCATCGGCGTGTGTGGAGGTCAGATGATAACTTGAGGGAGTCAGTTCTCTCCTTGCACTGTGGGTTCTGGGAACTGGACTCAGGTTTTTTTTGCCCTCGGAGTCATCTAACCCACCCAGATCTTTTTTGCTTTTTTTAAAAAATTAGATTGAGAAAACAGAACTTGTTCATGGGAAGTTGTTTTTAAATTAGTCTAAGTTTTAAAAAACTGTTATGTGTATGGGTGTTTGGATTGCATGTATGTCTGCACATCATATGTGTGCAGTGCCTCCACAGGCCAGAAGACAATGTTGGATCCCCTGGAAGCTGAGTTAAAGATGGCCATGAGCCTCTGTGTGGGTGCTGGAGATCAAACCGGGTCCTCTGGAAAAGCAGCCAGTGCTCTAGTCCTGCTGAGCCATCTCCCCAGGCTCAGGGTTTTGAGGCAATCTCATCTAGTCAAGGCTGGCCTCAAATCTCCTACATAACCATGGAGTATCTTAGATTCTGTGCCTCCATGTTTCAACTGCTGTGATTACAGGCATGTACCTCTACCACACCCGGTTCCTTGATGCTGGAATCAAAACCAGAGCTTCAGGCATGCTAGGCAAGTGGAGGCCCACTGGGGACTGGCAGGGACTGAAGGCCCAAGCAGAGCCCAGCCTCACACCTACAGATCTGTGCTGTGCTTTGCTGAATGATGATGGGGTTTGAGCCCAGGCCCTTTGGCAAGCTTGGCCAGTGCTTTACCCCTGAGCATCCTCCACCCTTCACCCTCTAGATAGAAATTGGTTTCTGTTGTCTGACGATGCGGTTTTTTTGCTGGTCTCATTTTACCTTCTTTTCCTGGAACTAGCTTCCATCTACAAGGGTCTGACCTCTCGGTGGCCAAGGAGGTAGCTCTTCTGGGTGCCTCTGGTGATACCACACCCTGTGAGGATGTTCCTTCCTCACCAGTTTGGCCAGCAGCCAGAGAGCTGAAACTGAGGAACAAAAGGGACTGGGCCACCCTGCCAAGCTCTCCAGAAAACCTGGATTGGATCCCTGTTGGGTCACCAGAGGGGCTTTGGTGCTTTGGGGTCACCTGAGTGTTCTGGGGGATGGGAAAACCAGGCTCTGAGGGAGAGATGGCAGCTTCATGTGATATCATGGTCGAGAAGGCACCAAGTTAGGATGTCCTAGGCCTATGGGCCTATGGCACAGGACCCTGGACCTGTGGTGACCAGATCTGTCAGTCCCTTTTGCTGCAGGAAGTAACGCACTGGACAGACAGACTGGCCAGCTAAGACATGTGCTGCTTATGCCACTTGAGAAAGCCAGCTGAAGCTCTCCTTGAATTTGCGCTAAATCTCACGGCTAATCTGTAGCTGGCCAGTGCCCTGGGGTTCCAACAAGCCATGCTTAGTTCCTGAGGTTCAGGAGCCCCCACGTTATCTAACACTATGCTTGGGGCCTTGCGAGGGCCCACAGGATATTAATTAGACACACGGGTGTTTAGTAGTGAAGAGTCACTGGAGCCAGGAGTGAAGGCGCATGCCCTTAATTTCAGCATTTTCTGGAAACAGAGGCAGGCAGACCTCTATGAGTTTGAAGCCAGCCTGGGCCACATAGTCTCAAAATGAATGAATGAATGAATGAATGAATGATAGGGGCTGAGTGTCAAGGCATACAGCTATAATCTCAGTACTCAGAAGGCAGAGTCAGGAGACGCAGTAATTCAAGGTCATTTTTGGCTTGAGTCAGTTGTAGGCCAGCCTGGGCCCCACGAGACTGCTTCAGAACAAACAAAAAGTTTCTAGGGTGGGTTTGGGACTCAGCAGAGGGACTGCCTAGCTTCCAGGCCCTGCTCTTGGTCAGGGTGACTCTAGATGCCTGGGGGCCCTCAGAACAATGGTTCCCATCCTTTAATGGGGCACAGGCGAGTCCTAGAGCAGGGCCCAGCACGCATGCAGGTCACACGCAGTGTGCGTGACTCACAACCCTGAGGACGATGAGATGGAGGCCGCATCTAGGCCCTGCTAGAGGGACCGACTGCTGGGCTTCTCGGTTCTCTAAGGGCAAAGGTCAGTTCCAGCCTGCTCCCGGGCTGGGGATTTCCCAGGACCCAGCAGTGGTCAACAGGATGCCCCTTGCCCTAAATGCAAAATTCAAAATTATGACAATAAGTGGTTTTAGTCCCACAACATAGGAGGCAGAGGAGGCTGGATCTCTGTGAGTTTAAGACCAGCCTGGTCTACATAGTGGGTTTCCAGACTAGCCAGGGCCACATAGTGAGACCTGTTTGAAAATAATAATGATGATGTTAATTAAGCTGGGTTTTTTGAGCATTTACTGGGTACTAACATCCCACGGGGACCTTTCCTCACCCATCCTCAGCAGCCCCATGAGCAGTGGAATCTCTTGCTTCTTCACACAACTGTCCCCGACATTGACCTGATTTGTGATGCTTTGCCCTCATGGTGGTGTTTTGAAAGGTCACCATTCTAGGCCACACCTTTAATCCTGGCACTAGGGAGGCGGAGGCAGGCCGATCTCTGTGAGTTTGAGGGCAGCCTGATGTACAAGAGCTAGTTCCAGGACAGGCTCCAAAGCTACCAAGAAACCCTGCCTTGAAAAATAAAAGAAGAAAACAAAACAAAATCAAAAAAAGAAGTTCTTTATTCTGGAGGACAGGACCCACACTTTAAGTTTTGAATCTTATCTACCCTGGGCTATTGATTCTTAAACACTGCAGGCTGGATTTAGCAACAATGTTGCCAAATGCAGGCTAAGGTCAGCCTTTCCAACACATTTTACGTGGGCCTGGCTACTCGGCAATGTTTTTCAGGTCGAGTGTGCTCGCATGTTCATGCTACCATAGACTTATAGGCACTAAATCCCATGGTAAGCTGAGGCGCACCTATGTTGCAGATTGGATATCCAGGGCTCAGAGAGGTAAATTGAGTTGCTCAAGGTCACACAGCTTTGCCTGGGACAGACCTATGATGGACTGTTATCTGACTCTCCTATAAACCCCTCATGGGACCTGGGGTACCTGTGCCTCAGTCTCCCCTGATTGTTGGTGTAGGCTTTGCCTTTCTTGGAGTCTCAAACTCTAAGATGATGTTCAGGGACTCAAAAGGTCCAAGCTTCTCAGAGGACCGAGGCCCCACAAAACCCGTTCTTCATAAACTCCAGGGCCTAGGGAGGTAGCTACTGGTTTGGGGGTGAAGGACAGGAAATAGGCAGGGAAGTGTTGAGACAAATTCGATGTGGCTTCACCTTCTTGAAGTTCAGCCTAGCCCACTCTTGATTTCCTGTGGTCTGAGGAGAAGAGGGTTAGCTCTCCCTCATCTGTGTCATGGGGGTCCTGGGAGCTGGGCGTCCCTGGAAGAAGATGGGGGAGTTCATCCAGAGAAGAGCCCACTGCAGCAGCAGCGTGATGGGGTTGATGAATGTCGCTTTCCCTGGAGAGCACACCTGGACCTCAGGAGACATCACCAGTGATGCGGGGGTGCTGGACTCCAGCCCACCTGTTTCAGACATGGCTTCCATCAGAGCTATGGGATTCTATCCTTGCAGAGGGCAGGTGTCCCAGGTCATGGTGTTCCAGGACCAGGCCTGTAAAGGTGCACAGATGGCAGGGACTGGCCTGGAGTGGCCAGTGGCTCTGGTTAGTAGAAACTGAGGGATTTCTGTGATGTCAAACTGGTCACTCTGGACAGGCCCAGGAGCCTCGTCTTTTTCTGTGCTAAGCAAATGTTCTACCACTGAGGCACACCCTCCACCACCACTGAGGCACACCCTCCACCACCACTGAGGCACACCCTCCACCAGGAGGCACGGCCCCAGCTCTTGTTTATTTACCTTTACCTCGGAGCTTGTGTTCTTCCGCCTCTACCAACCGAATGCTGGGCTTACAGCTGTACATCAGCATGCCTGGCCATATTTTAAAAAGAAATTGTATTAATTTAAGTATTTACTTAGTTATATGAGACAGTCTTGCTGTGTTGCCCAGGCTGGTGTTAGACTCCTGGGCTCCAGAGATCCTTCTAATAGCTGGGATGCCCAGAGCCTCCACCTGCTCACCCCTGCCCAGCACCTTCCCACAGCAGGGAAGGGCTCTCCGTTCCCTGACTGCCCACAGCAGCGGCCTTCTCATCTCCATGGCCCTCTTGAGCCTGAGCTTCTGTGCCCCCACAGAAGGTTTCCCCTATTTCTTCCTTCCAGAAGCCAGCATCTGGGACCTTCCACTGGACGTCTTTGAAACAATACCACTCGTTTTACATACAGTGGCAACTGAGTGTCAGAGAGGGTGTCAGAGGCATATAGCTGCTGTAGGGGGAATGTGGGCCAGCCCTGCCTTCACCCCAGGTCGCCTCTGTGTGCCCGGGATTGTGGGTAGAAAGTAGCCTGGCTCCTTTCTGATTGGCCCTTACCTGCAGATAGGACCCTGACTTTCAGTCCCGCTGGTCCCCCACAAGCTGTCTTGCCCCCAGGAACTGAAGGGCTAAGCTCCCACCCACACCGTTTCAGGAAGTGGTTGGGTCTCTGCCTTCCAGGAACCAAGGGGAGGTAGTGGGTGTTGGGCGGTGTTGGTGTCTGTGTCATGGTGATGACACATACCTCGGCACCGGGGCTTCTTCCTGCATTGCTCTCCCCCCAGGAAAGTGGCACCGAGGTGAGGCGGGCCGTGTCTTTTTGCTGTAAGAAGGAACGCTGCTCAGAGAGGCAAGCGTCTGTCTCAAAGTCACAGCTTTTAAGAGGCAGTGTTTGAACCTCCTTCCATCCGATGCCATTGTCTGCTGTCCCTTTCTAAAGGACTTTCACAGTACCTTTGAGGCGGGTCTTAAGGGAGATGCTGGGAGAGACCAACCAAGGGATGACATAGCTCAGTGGTTAAGAGCACTTGCTACTTTTCCAGGGGACCTAAATTCAGTTCCCAGCACCCATGTCTGGCATCTCACAACCACTTGTAGCTTCAGCTCCACAGGATCTGATGCCTCTAGTCCCTGCAGGCACCTACACTCAGGTGCACATATCCCCGCACAGATACATCATATGAATAATTTAAAAATGCCAAGGTTTTTCTTAAACCTTTCTAAAAGGTTTTGTTTTTAATTTTTTTTTTTTTTGTCTTCTTTTGGTTTTGTAGGACAAGGTTTCTCTGTGTAACAGCCCTGGCTATCCTGAAACTCACAGAGATCCACCTGCCTTTGCCCCCCAAGTGCTGGGATTAAAGGTGTATGCAGCCATTACCCAGCAGGGGTTTTTATTTATTTATTTATTTTTGAGATTGTGATTACATCATTTCCTCTGTCGCTTTTCTCGATCCAAATCCTCCCATATACCTCCCCTTGCTCTAGTTCAAATTCATGGCCTGTTTTTTCATTAATTGTTGTTTCTGGATAAGGTTGCTTTGTGTGTCTTTTCAGAAATGACTGTTGGGTGGCGGATAACCACTCAGGGTGCTCTTTTCTGGGGAATACTATTTCCCTCCATTCTTGTTCCTTAGTTGACTGTGGTTCTTGCCTGGGGGCTGAGGTTCTCCCCCTCCACATTGGCATGTCTATTGATGGTGTCCTTTTTCAGTTCAAATATATCACTTTTTTAATAAAAGAGACAAAGACCTGAGGACTGGCAGGAAATTGTGTGGGGCAGGGAGGAGACAGATAAATGGGGCGGGGGCGCCAAGGAGAAGCATCAGGGACCAGCAAGCTGCTGTCCTCAGGCCAGGGTGGGCTCCTCCATTCAGCCGCTGGATTGTGAGGGCCACGCCCACTGGTCTGTTTATAACTTTTTCTTTTGGAGTTGTTATTATCAAAAATAGAAACAGTGTGCAGTGAGAGGTCAAGGCACCTGCTGGCAAGACTGGCAGCCATTTGCATCCCTGGACCCATGAGGAGAGAACCGACTCCCTGGGTTGTCTTCTGACCCCCACCTGCACACATGGTTTATGTGTGCACACAAATACACATGCACACGTGTGCGCACACGCCTGCAGAGGCAGGCAGATCTATGAGTTCAAGGCCAGGCTGGTCTACAGAGTGAGAATTCCAGGACAGTCAGGGATACACAGAGAAACACCATCTTGGAAAAAGAAAAAAAAAACCAGAACAAAACAAAAACAAAACAACAAAGAAAGAGAATCCCAAACAAAACTACAAAAAAGAAGATGAAAATCCGTTCACTTCCTCTAACTCGGTGGATTGTTTTGCCCACAGATCAATTGTTTTCATTCTCTTTGTTTATTTACTTTTGTTTTTGGAGGCAGGGTCTTGCTATGTGACCCTGGCTGGCTTGGGATTTGCTATGTAGGTCATGCCAGTCTTGAACTCACAGTGATCCACCTGCGTCTGCCGGCAGAGTGCCGGGACACAGGTGTGCCACCGTGCCCTCCTCACTGTTATTTCCTCTTTTCAGGTTTCGGAACTCACACATGTGCAGCGGTTCCCTAACGCTGACTTGACTTTCACAGCCCCTCACCTTCCTCTTTTTTTTTTTTTTCTTCTTCAGGGGAAGGGTGTAAAACAGGATCTGCCTCCTGGGTGTTGTGGTTCCAGGCATGTGCCACCGTGCCCAGACCCTGCGGGCTTCTTCCTAATTTTGTTTTTGTTTGTTTTGAGACAGAATCTCATTAAGTCACTCAGGCTGGCCTTGATCTCACTATGTAGATAGACCTACTTCAAATTTGCAGTCCCCCTGCCTCAGTCTCTCAATACTGGGATTATAGTCTTGAGCCTAGTAGAAATAAAACATTTTAGGACTGGAGAGACAGCTCGGTGGCGAGAGGACCAGGGTTTGATTCCCAGCTCCCACGTGTCAGCCTATAGCTGTATCTCTAGTTCCAGAGGATCCAGTGGCCTCCTCAGGCACTGCATACATGTGGTGGGTGCACAGACATGCAAGAAGGCAAAACACTCATACAAACTAAATAAAAATACATAGATTATATATATAATAGGCTATAGATATAAATTAATTAATGTGATTAATCTATATATTAACCACTGAGCATTGTATAGCTCATAGCTATAATCACAGCGCTCAGGAGGTTGAGGCCGGAGGAGACTCTTGTCTCAAAAATAAAATAGAATAAATAAATAAAATTAAAAAAGCAAATGGGGTGGGGTAGAAAGAAAACAAAATTTAACCAAAAATGCCAGAGAGGTTAGTGAACCGTCTCTAAGGTTGGATGGCATTGTTTGTGTGGATGAGCACATGCTTCTCAATGCAGCCAAGAGGCCCGCCTCAAGAGATGCCCGATGCCACAGTGCCCGCCCCAGACCAGACCAGCATTGCCTGTGAGGTCTTCAGCAGGCACAGGGTGATGCCGTCCCCACCTCTCTGCCCTGTCTCCCCAGGTACCATGCTTCCACGCTTCCTGCTGTTGCTGAGCCTCTTGGGCCCTAGTGACAGCCTCCAGTCATGGGACATCCAGGAGCAGGGAACCAAGGCAGCCTCGGGCCCTGTGCCTCTCCGGGCACGGAGACAAGCAGCTGGCGATGAGGACTGGGGGGAGTATGATTACTCCATGGAAGGCACAGATCCCCCAGAAATGCTGATCAATGTCACCAGTGTGGTGGCTGCAAACCCTGAGTCTCTGACCGTGATGGCCATGCTGGAGCAGAGAGTTTCTGTGGGGGCTGGAACCCCTGAGTCAACCACTGCCGAGGTTACCGCCACCGGCCCTGCTGGTCCAGATGCAGGAGGACTGGCTGTTGAAAGAAGCACAGAATCAGCCACACAGTGGAGGCCAACCACAGTGGAGATGACCATCCAACTAGCAGCCACGGAGGCAGAGCCCTCACAGCCAGCACCCACAGAGGCAGAGCCCTCACGGCCAGCACCCACGATGGAGACAGAGCCCTCATGGCCAGCACCCACGATGGAGGCAGAGACCTCACGGCCAGCACCCACGGAGGCAAAGCCCTCACGGCCAGCACCCACGGAGGCAGAGCCCTCACGGCCAGTACCCACGGAGGCAGAGCCCTCACGGCCAGTACCCATGGAGGCAGAGACCTCACGGCCAGTACCCACGGAGGCAGAGACCTCACGGCCAGCACCCACGGAGGCAAAGCCCTCACAGCCAGCACCCACGGAGGCAGAGCCCTCACGGCCAGCACCCACGATGGAGGCAGAGACCTCACAGCTTCCCAGGAGTCAGGATGTAAAAAGTCTGTTCACAGAGGCCACAGCCACAGGAGCACCTTCTACAGAACCCACTGCCACAGAAACCATGTCCACTGACTCTACCATCTTCCTTGGGTCATCTGTGACTCATAAGGACAATGATGTGGCAACTGGCCACTTGAAGAATGGGCTGTTTGTGACTCCTAGGAGCTCTCTGGCCACAACGACCCCAGGGTTCTCGGACCTCATCCCCGTGAAGCAATGCCTGCTGGTCATCCTCATCTTAGCCTCTCTGGCCACCATCTTCCTGGTGTGCACGGTGGTGTTGGCAGTCCGCCTTTCCCGTAAGAACCACATGTACCCGGTGCGGAACTACTCCCCGACCGAGATGATCTGCATCTCATCCTTACTGCCTGAGGGGGGTGAAGGGGCTCCCGTCACAGCCAATGGGGACTTGCCCAAGGTCCAGGACCTGAAGACAGAGCCCAGTGAGGACCGAGATGGGGATGACCTAACCCTGCGCAGCTTCCTCCCTTAGCCTCCCTGGTACCTGAGCCAGGCCCTTGCTGTAGCTCCACCCACTGTTCGCCAAGGCCACAGAGCTGGGCTTCCTGGGTGAACTTTATCCATAGGGATCTTTAGGGAAGGGGCCTGGACCCACCCCAATCAGAGCCCAGAGCCTCCAAAGCCCTGCATCTTCTGCTTCATTCATGGAGTCTAGTGGCCTCCAAGCCAAGGACCATGGAAGCAGTTGCTGCTCCTGGACGCCTCTCTCCGACCTGTCTGCTGTTTTTTTCTGTCGCCCCAGCCACAATGCCTCCCAGTGCTGTGCAGCTTGCTGCGGGTCACTGGCTGCACGTCCCCAAGAAAGAACGAATTCCCTTACCCCACTCCCAAACCTTCCTCTCAGTTGCCATGGTTGCCTGATAAGAAAGGGTCTCTGGGGAAGGCTGCTCTCTGGCCATGTCTGTTTCTCTACCCACAGTGAGGGGCAGCTCTCGGCTTTCCCAGGCACCTGTCTGAGGATCCCAGGACCAGGCTTGGAAAGATAGTCCTTCATTTGGGTCTTGTGAACCCCTGAGCTTCAGTCTGGTGACAGTGACCTCACACTGTGGCACAGCACCGGCACTCAATAAATGTGTTTAACAAATGGTGGCTGCATCCTTTGTGTGCCCAGGCTACCAATCTCCATCTTCCTCTCAGACAATAGAGATTTTTCATGCCTCCTTGGGTGACTGCAGGGGAAAGCTCAGTGTAATTGCACACACTGATGCTCCCGGCACTAGAGAGCTGGAGGGGCCGGAGGTCAAGGGCATCCTTGACGAGGCAGCAAGCTTAAGAGCAGTCTGGGATCCATGAGACCCTGTCTCTGGCTGGCTGGCTCAGCGGGTAAGGGCGCTTGCAGCCACGCCTTGTGTCTTAAGCTTGACTGGGGCCTCCATGGTGGAAGGAAAAAATTGCTCTCCAGAAATTGTCCTCGGACCTCCACACACAATAAACAAACAAAATTGAGCAAATAAACCAACCAGAGAGCTTCATTGAATACACCCTTACCGAGTTTGACCAAGGGAGGTGGATCCCTCTTGTCCACACGATCCTGCCCAGAAACCTCTCCCTCCACAGGGTACCCATCCCCACTAAGGTCTTCTAGCAGATCCTCATGCACTGGCACAGCCCCTGCCATCCAAGACACTTTCCAGGCTGTCCCTTACCTCCCACGTATCTCTACCGGTTGTTGCCGAGAGTTTGGGATTGACCAATTTCTTTTCAAGGCTAAGATGGTGAGTATTTCGGCTGTGGGTACCACACCATCTCTACTGCAGCTCCCTACGTCGGTTCTCTAAACCACAGTGTGTGGTGATGATGATGTCACTGTGCTCTGTTATAGGGAGTTGGCTTGGTATGGAAAGCACGTGTCTTACCAACGTGAGGACCTAAATTTGATCCCCAGAACCCCCCACCCCCCACACACACACAAACCAGGCTTGGTGATTCACACTCTGAACCCCAGCCTTGCGGCAGCAGGAACAGATTGTTCTCTGACCAGCTAGTCTGTCCCCCTTGGAAACTCCAGGCCAATAAGAGATGATCTCAAAAGGAAGATAGATAGCTCCAGAGGAACAACGGTGGAGACTGTCCTCTGGCCTCCCCGTGCACGTGCATACGTGTACACACACACACGCACATACACCTACACACATATACACCCACATACATATGCATCCACACACACATGCGCACTCACACATACACACACCTACAGACACACCTACACATTCACACATAAACACACACATCTACACATATACCCACACACATATACACCTACACACACACCTACATACTCACACCTGCACACACTTACACACATACATACACACACATACATACATACACACCTACACATATATACACACATACATACATACACACCTACACGTACATACACACACATATACACACATATACACCCACATACACCTACACACTCACACATAAAACACACACATCTACACATATACCTACATACATATACACCTACACACTCACACATACACCCCCCCACACATACACCTACACACTCACACATATACATACCTACACACACACTACACACACATACCCCTATACACACTCATATACCTACATACACATATATACCTACACACACATGCATACATACACATACATCTATAGACAAAAATACACTTACATACATACCTATACACACACATACACACCTACACACACATACGCCTACACACTTATACAGCTATATACACATACCTACACTTAAACACCTACACACAATACACATGCCCACACACACACACACACACATGCACACACACACCGAGGCAGCAAGCCAACTGGGTTCTGTAAGTTTGAGCCCTAAATGCAGGGCAGGGTGACACAGGGTCACAAATTTGCTGACTTTCTGATTTTGGCAATAGAGCCTTTGTTCTGAACTGCCCCCATCTTTAGCAAGTCAGGAGGGCTGCCTATACATGGGTCACATGTACGGTGGACATGCTCCACCTCACCCCAACCCCACATGGACCCCTGAGCTCTCACTCCTGACCACCCCCACGGCCTTTCTTCCCATCGTTTCCATAGACAGGAGACTGTTGGGAGCACAGCACCAGGGAGGAGAACGTCGTTGGTGTCACTGGAGGGAAAACGCTTTTTTCTCTCCCAGAAAACTCTGTCTGGGACAAAGAGACCCCCCACCTCACCTGCTCAGGACGTGGCCTGCAGTGCAAGAGGAGGCTGCATCTTGGGAGAGAGGAGTAGGAAAGCCATGAAGAGCGCCATAGGGAAAGCAGGGAGGAACATGGCAGGGGATGGGCCCCTCAGGGACAGGGTAGGGACTGTGGAGAGACGGCCCAGTGTCTGGAGGTGGCCCTGTCTGCTGCTTCCCTCTGGACTGTTAGAGGAGGTCAGCTGGTGGGCTGGGTCGATTGGGGTTCATCTCCCCTGGGTCAAAAAGTGTAGAAAGAAAGATTCTCAGATCCAACGACGACAGGACTTGAGCTACAGTTCCCTGGGGCCTTTCTGAGGATGCTGTGTGAGGACGCAGCTGTGGTTTTCTTACTGGGAATGGGGTTCACCCTCGATGGGAGGAGCAGCCACCAGGGGGCGCTGGCCACCTGCTTCTGGAGGGTGTTGATGTGATGAGGGGCTGGGCAGCCTCGGGTTTGGAGTGCGGATGCTCTGGTATAGTTGCTCAAGAGTCGATTCTCAAAACTTGATACCTGGCCCTTGGGCAAATTCCAGGTGTATTGCACACACTGCCCCACCCTGTCTCTGTATGCCCCTGACCATACAGAACCTGATTCAGCCAAAGCATCCACTCAGCGAACCCACACACGTCTGCAGGATCTCCCTGAACCTCTCAGACAGCCTTGCCATTTCATAGAGGAGGAAATGGAGGCTCAGAGATGTGAACTTCCAGCTCCCATCACACAGAGGATGTGGGACTGGAACCCAGGCCCTGCAGCCATGCTCTTAGCATGATGTCACTCTATTATCCAGATCACAGTGGGGTTCTGGGGGAATCCTGTGCCCCAAAGTCTCACTCTGCTGACCTTCCTGTCATCTGGAAGTCTCCCTTGTCACCCCCTTACTCCTTGGAACAGAGGAGAGGCATGATTACTCGGAAAGGTGACAGAGCAGAACTAGCCCCCCTCTGTAGATACCAGGATGATGCAGAGGGAGGCACAGCACCAAGAGGGCTGGCGCGTGTGGAACACGTCCTGCCCGCCTAACCTTTGTCTCTATTGCCTCATTTAGCTCCTAAGGGGACTGCATAATAGGGGTGCGAAATCACCATGCTGCTGCAGGAAGGGGGGAGGGGGACGGGACTGGAGCTTAGAAACTGAGAGCAAACAGGCTGCATTTTGCTAAAGAGCCAGGAGAAGCAGGGAGGGGTCAGGCAGGGAGGGGATGCTGGTCAGCAGAGGTGGTGGGCAGGTAGTTGGTAGGCTGAGTTTCTGCCCAGTCCCCGCCTCCTCCCTGTGTCAGGGGCTGCCCTCTCCCACCCGTCACATGGGTGTTTCTCTTGTCAGCAGACCTGGCCAAGAGCTGCAAGGGCTCGGGCTTGCCCTGTCTGCCACGCGCACAAGCCCCAGGGTGCCAGAGTGTGCGAGTGTGGGCACGGGTGTGTGTATAAGGGAAGAGAACAAGGCAAAGGGGGCATCTAGAACAGGAAGAGTTGCGTTGCTGCAGGGGTAGGGGCGATTGGGGATGAGGGGTGGAGCCACACCCAGGGATGCTGGAGTTAGCGGCAACGGAAGGAAAGCGAGCTAGGACCTCAGGGTTCCGACGTGGGCAGCCATCCTGAAGAGGGGCTGTGGGTGGAGGGCTGGGATGAGGAAGGGAGGGGTCCCTAGTGGGGTTTTAGCCTTGTGGGGTGTGAAGGCCCTTCAGGTGCTTCCCAAGGCAAACACTGTTTGACATCATCAGCCATCAGGGGAGCTTAGGGAAACCCCATGAGGGTCACAGCACACCAAGGCTGAAAGTGAAAAGGACAGCAGCCTGCAGCTGGTTGGGGAGAGGCTGGGGTGCAACGCCCAACTGCTGATGAGGATGGGGAGATGGGGTCCCAGATGCTGCATCTGCTTTGGAGACCAGTTGAACAGATTCCCAGACATTTCAACGCAGTCGCTGTGCACGAGAACGCAGACACATGCTGGTGTGAAGCCATTCACAGGTTGGTAGCTCCCTTGGTTCTGACAGCCAGGTTCAGCCAATGAAGGGTACGTCCATGAGGTGGAATAGCACTCAGCATAAACAAGAGCAGATACCAGCATGCCTGCTGACATGACAAAATCACTCACTGAATGGCAGAAGCCAGGCACAAAGGCTGTGTGTAGAGTGTGGATTTGAAGGACATAAAGTCCAGGAAGGGGCCGTAGAGATGGCTTGGTGGTTAAGGGCACCAACTGCTCTTCCAGAGGGCCTGTGTTCCATTCCTGATACTTGGGAGCTCACAACCACCTGCAATTCCAGCTCCATGGGATCCAACACCCTCTTCTGGCCTCCCTGAGCATTGCACACATGCACATATGCCTATGTAGAAACATATCCATCTGCGGGTGTAATCTAAAAAATCTAAAACCATTTTTAAAGTTCAGAAGGCCCAGGAAAGGACTCTCTGTAAATAAAAAGTATTTATCAACCCTGCTCAAGGATCTGAGTTTAGATCTCTGAAATCCACATGCTCTATGGTGAGGTGGGCTGAGGAGACAAAAATTCATGGGATAATCTTTTTGTACACTGTTAGGATGTGTCATTGCCTTCTGATTGGTTTAATAAAGAACTGGACGGCCAATAGCTACACAGGAAGAGGTTAGGTGGGGCTTCCTGGAGAAGGAGGAACTCAGGGGGATGAATCCATGCCTGTGAGAGATGCCAGGAAGACAGGGAGGGATCCAGGCATACAGAATGAACAGAAGGTAAAAAGCCATGTGGAAAAATATAGATTAGTATAAACGGGTTAATTTAAGTTATAAGAGTTAGTTGGGAACAGGCCTAAGCTAAAGGCCAAGCTTCCATAATTGATAATAAGTCCCAACAAGTACTACAACAGAAGAATCTCCCACACTCATGGGCTCAGCTCTCTGATTGGAGCTGTTTCTGAGCCCTGGA